CTCAGGCTCTGCCACTCTGTCCTGTCATGGCGCTTTAGTTTAGTTCATGAGCTCATTTGCCACCGTTTCTGGATTGCCTGCTTTGTGAGTATCATATGAACCCCCAACTGTAAGACATTCCAGCCAGAGACCACCTGCTTACTCCCCACTTTCGCACCCACAGTGGTAGCTCTTCAGAGCAGGGAATTGGTGGTTTCTTCTCTGTGCTCTAAATCTCAGCACTTGTGCTGCTTGCAAGATGCTAGCTATTCTTATAGCAGACTAATACCGATACCAAAAACTATAACAAAATAAGCTCTTGGAGATATTTAAGGAAGTATTTGGAAGTTTTTTTTTTTTTAGTCTGGATCTCATATTCTGTAACTTTCTTTGCTTTTTTGCTCAATGTACCTCCCAAGATTTATTTATATGGACAGTATAAAAAGGTTGGGGTTTTTTTGTAAGTTTCCAAGAATGGTAGAAAATATTGTTCCTCACACATTCTTTGAATTAGTCTGAACCAATTCTTTTTATATCATAGAGAAAAGCCATGCTACAAATTTAAATCCACAGGCATGTCACGGTAAACAAGAGGTTCTACATTAGTACGAGTTTGTTCAACATCCTCCATCCCCCACCCTCCAAAAGAAGCCACACTAGTAAAAAGTTACTTTTGTTTTTTTTCTCTGAGTTTCTCTAGACTGTAGGAAAATATCCAAATTCCACCCCCTCCTCCCCCCCTTAATCAACCATGGCCATAACTGCAATGACCTTGAGTGGGGCCTAGGGAAAAAAGCCCAAAGGCAACCACTAACATTTTCAAAAAGTTAGTATATTAATTTGGAAAAAGAACTTTGGGATAAAAACTTTTTTGTTTTTCCATGATCCTATTGCTTTCTCACAGGGAGTCGTGCTGAGGAGTCATGTAAACCTTGTTCCTTAACCTTGACTTTGGCAAAAAAAGAAAGAACTGATAAGAAGGTTATGGCATTAAATCCTAGCAAGTGCAAATAGTTCATATCTAGTTCAGGGAAATTGAAATTCTAACAGCAAGCCAATCCAAGTTTTCGAACTGGAAGGAACACAACGAAGATGTTTCCTGGGCTTGAGCCTGGGCTTCATGTGGAACTGAGGCGGTCTGGCCAGGAGAGCCAGACTTGCCCAAAGCAAAGCAGCACGCAGGGCTCTGAGGCATGGCAAGAGGCCCTTCAAGAAGGGCCTGACCCTTTGAAGAACCATCCACTGCGAGAGAAGAAAGGTCACCGTACAAGGGTACTTCAAAAAGTTCACGGAAAACATCACATTATCCTTTAATTCTATTTTTCCACTAATGTTTTGAAGTATCCTCGTACAACCCTGTCAGGAAGGTGGACAAGGGTGGACTGGACACCCAAAATTATTCCCAAGAAATTCTCATTACAATTTCACCTCCCTCTCTTCTTTTTTTGACTCCTTTACTCCATCCTCTGGCATCTAGAGAACTTGGGAGAAAATAGTATCCTAAAAGATTAAAAAAGTCTTCTCTCTTTAAATAATGCCACCTGGAGGAGCTTTTTAAAAATATAAAACCGGCCCATACCAGCCAGCTGCCAAATATATATATATATATGGGTGTGTATGTTTATATATTTATACACACACCCATATATATATATATATATATACCAAAATCTGCGATCAGATCATTTTAACCCTCTTATAGCACATTCATATGCACACCTGCCTGGCTCCGGGAACAAAAATATGACACAAGCACTGAATTTAACAACACAGGTGTAGACATAAAGGAAAATACACATTAAAATATTTTAGGCAAAGGCACAGATGAATAAAGTCGGATGTTGAGAGCATTGCCAGGACAGTGTCAGCTGTGTTCCTCAGCCAGACACAGCACAATATATTGCAAAACATCAGAATGACAACTGAAAGCAAGGACACAGGACACAGATCCGAACAGGTTAGGCTCACTTTCAGTCTTCCAGAAAATGGGATTTTCAGTGTTTATATCTCCCAGAATAGCATAATTGTTACATGATATTTGATGACAGCTCAGGGAAACGCAGCCACCAACTACAGACTAAATTACTAACTAGTTCCTTCTGGTTGCTACTTATGCTAGGTGAAAGGTTACTTTTGTGTCTATCCAATTTCATCTCTTGAGATTACAAAAACAATAAAATTAGCCTGCTTGGCCCTACAACCCCAAATTGATTTAAAGTCTATTTGTTAATCCTGCATGTTTTTGATTGGCTTCAGCAAGAATGATTAAAAATACATATAATCTTGTGGGTTATATTTTGGTGAAAGATCAAAGTTGATACTATAATAAAATGTTACGGCCAAACAATGACTTGAAAATATACATGTCCCATATATTGAAATAATTTTTTAGTGCATATGGGTATCATATGAACCATATAATTCAAGCATATTTTCACCACTTTGGAATTTTCAACTCCAACATTTAGGCGTGAATATATTACCTTGGCACAGTAACATAACTGTAGGTAAATGTGCTCAGTTGTTGACATTTAAAGACCTAAGAAATTTTAGTAACTTCACCCGGCCTTGGATATAAATGATGAACAATTTATGTTATACAAAGACACTCAGTTCCTATAGGTACAGATCAATTGTATATTAAACATCCAAATCTTATTTCTAAATCAGTATCTTCTAAAAACATTTTAAATTAAATACATTCCACATACACTCTGCACTTTGAATTTTATGTCCCTGGTTGGTCAGCAGAACGGTCAGACTTAAAGATAAAGGTATCTGGTTATTTATATATTCCATTACTGCATCTATTTTTTCCATCTGCTCATAAAGCTCCAGGCTTGCCTTGTAACTGAGAACCGTAACTGTAGAGACCATAAATAACTTTTTTCAAAGCACACTTGTTTTAGACTAGAAATAATGATTACTCATTTCAGGTGATCACGAATATCGGGGATTAAAAACACAATCACCTGAATTCTGATCATTCATTATATTGGAAAGAAGCAACTATAGCCACATTGTTCATTTGATTAACAAAAAGCTTATGCTTAAATTGGAGTCATTTACCATAGTCCCTTTTATGAAATAGAAAACAATGATAATCGAATTCACTTGTAAAATCCCTAAGTGGTCTAGTTTATTAGTGGCTATTATGAAGTTAGAAATATGCACTGAAATAATAAAAATAATCACTTTATTAACATAATACTGAACAGAAACAATTTACACTTGGCTAATTGGTCTCATGTCACCATGGACATTAGCCAGTGTTAGGCTTGCATTGTATGGACACATGGTCTCTAACTAACATATTTAACTTTTCCTTTTCTCCCATTACTTTCCTCTCCCTTCCTTTCTAATATATGTTTGTTTTAAAAAAATTCTCGGGAGTATTTAAGATAAGAATAGATTCATAAGAGTCTTATTTAGATGCTATTGCTAGTCTCATGCTCTAGTTTCATAACGCAAATTGAAACTTACAGGAAAGCATGTTAGAAATAATTTTGGTATAGTTTTCAGTCTTATTACATTTTGAGCTATGAGTCTACAGGGGTGTGGATCCTCTTTACCTCTTTCTTTAGGTGTATGTTTGTGCAGGAGAGTTGTGGCACAAGAGCAGTGTGAGGAGATAGAAGGAAATAAACTGAGAGTGTAAGGAACCTACAGGGGTGTGGATCCTCTTTACCTCTTTCTTTAGGTGTATGTTTGTGCAAGAGAGTTGTGGCACAAGAGCAGTGTGAGGAGATAGAAGGAAATAAACTGAGAGTGTAAGGAAAAATTAGAAAAGACTTTAAA